GTTCCATACTCACCTCTCGTTCTTTTTCAACAAACGAGAGAGGTGTACAGTCATCTCGGCGTAATTGCGTGAATACTTATGCAAATACGCCGCTAGCCCAAGGAATTTTCGAAGACCTTTGACATCAACCGGCACAGGCCAGTCGGTGATCGCCTTGATCTTTTCGGGATCAGGACGTACACCGTTCTTACCAACGATGCACCCAAGAAGTGATATTTCGCTTGCTGCGAATATGCACTTCTTGATATTTGCATACAATTGATGCTTTCGCATGATTGTAAGAACTTGTCGGACGTGGTACCTGTGAACCTCAACATCCGACTTTCCATCCATAGCCCGACAATGGATGAATACGTCATTGAAATAACTCGGCGCAAATTCTCGTGCTGGTCTCAACAGATGTGATACACATCTAATGAACGTGGCAAGGGCATTACTAAGCCCTTGTGGCATTACTAGCCATTCCCAGAGCATGCCGCTAGGCGTGCTCACTGCGGTATAGGGTATATCCCGTTCTTGCACAAGGATTTGATAGAAACTATCCATCAAATCCATGGACAAAAAGATGGTACTCTTTGACATACCATCAATGATTACGTCCTTCCTTGGTTTTGGCGTCTGAGCCGGAACCGGTACAGCATTCAACTTGTTAAATGCATGCACTATCCACCACCCTCCTGTTGCTTTTCGCACACAGAAGGTCGAAGAGCTATGTGGGGAAGTTAATTCCCTCACATGGCCCGCAGCTAAACGATCGGCAAAGAACTTGTCGATCGCAAGTACTTGTTCACGAGGCAGTGGCCACTGCTTCATGATACAGTACTTCGAGCCTGGTTCAAGCTCGACCTCGTGCCGAGTACCTTTATCCTTCGGTAACTCGCACGGAACAGTTTCAGGGAATACATCCTTAAATTCAACCAAATCTTCATAGAGAGGATTTGTCTTGAGCGATTCCCACGATTGGGAGTCATATCGCTCAACTCGTGTCTTTTCATCTAGTACACTCTCATCCATTGATGAACTACTGAGAACTATCTCGTTCTCAGTGAACAGTGTTGCTGACCTTATGTCGGCTGCACACTCGTCGTCAGCGACGAGTACGCAAATCTGCTTGACTTTGCCACTACGCAGATCACGCAAGAACCTTTTGCGTTCGAGCGTTGGCAACTGAGTGATCTCCGAAGTTAACTTTGGAGGCGCAATCAGATCAAGTGTATAAGCACCTACACTCGATCCGTTATTGACTATGACATTCAATGTCTCTGTCATTTCCTGGGGAATTATTCCCTCAGGCCTCGAAGGACTTATTCCTTCGGCTTCCCGGGGACTTATTCCCTCGGGTTTCGGGGAACTTGTTACCACCGTATTTGTAATATTGGAACTTATTCCCTTAACTTCCTCTAGCTGGGGTTGCGCAACCACAGCGAGATCCTCTACGAAAGACTCTCTAGTCGATCTAGGATTATCGTTTCGCTTAACCTGAGCGATCGATTGTTTCTCTTCAAGATGCTCCCCGCTAGGGATACATCTTTGTCCCGGTCCACTCGACTTATTCGATTGGTGGACCTTCGGCGCAGCCTGTGTTTCCTCACAGCCACCGGAACTTTGCTCCGAAGTGTAACTGTTTGTTACACTTAGGTTTTGTGAAGTAGTACTAACGACCGTACCACAAGTGAGGCCATCGCACTCACTCGTAGTACATCCACACGCTTGTGGACGCCTCAAAACGTTCATCAGATGGCCATCTGATGAACAAGCGGCAGGCATCGTTACTGTTCGATGTTGCCAGTTTACCCGTGGTTCGTACCTTCTGAGCCACGGTATTCCAAGGATGACATCAAATTTTTCATCCAAATCCAATACGATAAATTCATCATCATATTGGGTATCTTCCAGCGTATAGTGGATCTTCACTATACGCTTCATGACGGTTACGGATGCGCCTGTCGCAAGACGTACCGTCATCCTCGTAGGAGGTGTGTCACATTCACTGAGCTTAAAGTGACCATCTTCTAGCGATTGGCGTTGCACAAAATTGTTGGACGCCCCACAATCGACTAGAGCTCGAAGGGACAACTTATTTGTCACTTCGAGTTTCAAGGTAATGAGTGTGACCTCATTACCTAGAGCAGCAACGCACAACGTTTGTGTGTTGGGAGCAACCTTCATCAAGAGGCCTACAAATTCTATTGATGTTGCTGGACCAGTAGGGTGCTCCGCACCTACTGATCCTGTCCGTTTTTTGACGGTCCATCCCGTTGTTGCGTCTTTGCACCAACAACGGACCCGCGTCTCTGCCCCTTTCTCATGGGTGGACGGTCACTACGCCCAGTGTTGCGAGACACTGGACTAGGGGCACTACACTCGCAAGCGTAGTGTCCTGTCTTCTGACATCTGTTGCATTTCTGCAACTTCTCGTAGTCTGTAGAGCGAGCCTTCTCGCTCTCTACATAACAGAGTTCCATCGACTCTGGACCTCCGTTGTCAAATCGTCTCGGTTGACGATACGATGTCGAGCTGGCGCGAGCCTGTCTCAGACTGAAGTCTTCCTGTTCCGCAACGGAAATTGCTTGTTCTAGTGAATCTAGTTCAAGTCGGAACAGGTGAGTCTTGACGGGACCATCCGCAAGACCCTGCATGAACACCGAAACCAACGCGTGTTCATCAACCGGATTGGAACTTATACAACTCGTGAGATGTCGTATATGTTGCGCGTAAGCGTGCACATCACGCTTACCCTGCTTGAGCTTCAAGAGTTCAGTTCGAGCTCTGAACTCAGCTCTAGGCGGTTCAAACGTTTGTCTGAGCCGCGACTTGAAGACTTCCAACGACCAAAACGCATATGGGTCGTGCAACTTGAGCCCCAGTGCCCAAGTCTTGGCACGTCCTGCCAGATTTGACTGGGCAAATGCAACTTGCATATCCCCGCCGTCGATGCGACGCGCCCTTATGGAGTAATCTAATTCGACGAACCATCTCAAGAGGGAGTCCTCTTCGACTCCCCTATACTTGGAGATGTCAATCTTCAAGGTCTCGGGTCGATGCACTCGCATCGACCCACCACCAGCAGCCTGCTGCTGTCTCAACAGTTCAAACTGTTGAGCACCCTGTTCTCTCTCCAACTCTGCTTGTTTAAAAACTTGTTGGTGAAGCAAGGCTACTTTCTCGCGTTCAGCGTTAAGTTCATTTTGAATGAACTTGGCGATAGTAGCATGTTGGGCAACTCTATTGAGAGCCTCTATTGAGAGCCTCTAGCATGACGCTAACAGCATGGATGCCCATGGTTAAACACATCCGTTCAACCGCATCCCATTCGACATCGCTCAAATGGGAGTAGCCGGCACGCGTAGCGTGAAAGCTTTGGTCATCTTCATCATCCAACATATTCATGTTAGATGTGAACGTGGTCCTTGGACGGACTACGAAGTGCTACCAGGTGCAACGGGGCACTTTGAAGCTTGTACTGGTAACAGTACAAGCTACTTATTCTGATGACAGAATAAGGCGGTGCCTCGGAACTTCACGTACACTGGTACGTGCAGAGGAAGACGGTAAGAAGAAGCGAGTACTTGGTTAAAGTAAAAAGTAGAACCGTATTTATAATAGTTAATGTCTGTAATAAACCCCCTATTTATCCTTATCTAACTATGTCTAAATACAAATGTGTACATCAACTATCTGCTCACCACTCGTTGCGTGCGTCTGTCGTGGCGCGTCTTCGTTGGTTGATATAATGGCCTATACCAACCAATTAGGAACTACTCGTAAGTGCTGCAGAATAATTGTCCTTATGACAAAATTCCGAGAATATAACTCTTATAGTTATATTCTATTAACAATTTCTTATAAATTGTTATGTAACGATTCACCAGTTACATATATCCATATCGTCGTCGCTGCCCATGCATATCTGCGTATTCTCCTACCTCCCGAAAATTTTGCCCTATCGACGGTGTGGTCCCACAGTACAATAAAGTACCTATTTTAAAGCGTAACTCAAGATTTTTCTGCTATCCAACATTGCAAACAGAGGAGCTTCAATTTTAATTGATCGTAGAAATTACAACCTCAAATAGGTCCGCAAGAGATTGTAAAATATTGTTAACAATGTAATTTACCTTGGTCCCGATCGCTCAGAGTTGTTCGCATTTACAAAGATATCCAAGTTCGTTCATTAATGCAATCAGTACAATCCGGAAATTGGTTCTACTACGTGGGTGCTCCGAGGAGCTACGTGCGAGGGTAGCGTAGGTGAGAGACCATCCGACCCAAGCCAAGTTCGACCCTATCGCTCAGGCACTTTCACAGCATTACTGCCCTATGCAGCAGAGATGACAAAGCGCGCAAAGAGACGCCCAAAATCAAATCGGTGACCGCAAGCGTGGCCAGCCGACCTAAAGTGTGTAAAGCCCAAGCGACGTCGCACGTCTGGAGCATGTCACTCTACGTGGAAGCAGTCTCTGGTGTGGTCGCTCTAGCAATTAACCATCATAGACATAGCTATCGACAAAGCGATGACGGTGGCGCGGGTAATCAGGCACCCTATCTGTATAGATATGCGCGAACGTTGAAGCAGCAACACGTGGCGAGGGGGAAGATGCCGATCAACATCGTTCTCGAACGGCTGTTCACATGTATACTTGTTTAAACTGATACTGCCCAAACTGATACCTTGTCTTAACCGATTAAATGTCCCGGTCCCGACCTGGTCACGATTGGAGGCTGGGAAACCTCCTTAATTTGCTATCTGATACTTTTTCTCCCGAGTGCATAGAAAAACACAGCTAACAGCACCCGGACTGATAGGTTCTACACATGTGCTATTTAAACTCGGTCATAACAGCTATAAGTATTCTTCTGAACCTTCTGGCGAGTTGTGATAGCCGTGATCTAATTCTTTATCTACTGCAGGGTCGCATAATCTGGTCCTCTCTATTCTCCTGCTGCATCCATAACAAATTAAAGACCTTAATTTATCTGATGCGCCTCAGCAGCCGCAATTAAAGGAAGCGCTTCACGGTAGTCTTCTTCCACACCTGCTCAGCCTCCATTGGGATGTGGTCTTGAATGACCTCGTCTGTGTCCGGCAGGTAGGTCACCACTGTCTCATCTAAATCGTTGAATAGATTCCGGATGTCCATTGGGTCGGTGTATCGGAACTGTTGGATCTGTGACTCTAGCTCTTTGATAAATTCCTGAACCGAGTAATCCTCTTCATTTTCGATGGCGTTTGCTTCCTCTTAAACGACTGTCACCTGCCCTGGGCTGCGGATCCTGCAGTGGTTAAATCGGTTGGTGATGGTCGTAAGTTTGACCTCACCATTCCATGCCAGGACTGCAATATTGATATCTTGCAGAATATTCATCTTGTCGGGACTAGTACCTTGTCCTCCATTCGCTGCCAGAGAAGGCAGTTGAAGGAGCACCGATAATAGCCCTGCAGGTTCCGGATAATACCAGCATCGCAAGGCTGCAGCTTTGACGTGGTATTTTGTGGCAGGTAGTAGACTGATGTGTTTTTTTTTGCTGGATGCGATTAGGAGGCTCTGCCAAGATAACGTGTGCACTGCAATTGTTCAGAATGAGTAAAACATTTCTGCTTACCATCCGACTGTCAAAATACTCGAGGCAATAAAAAAATCTGGTTCATCCATGCTTTTGCGTTGCTGCGGTAGGTGCAACCGAGGTTGTAGATATTGATGTTCTTAAAGCTCAGAGACTCTTGAAGTGTCTGATGAGCCACAAAGGAAGCTTTTATAACCGTCCTCAGTGCAGCAATTGGCGAGAGTCAGGCTCTCTTTGTGCTTTTGCTGATCTTCCAGCCGCTTGGTTGCAAGGGAATGGTTGGCCTGGTAACATGAAAAAAGGCTACAATGTACCAAAATAAAAATCTTGCAGGAAATAAACATGTACCTGCAACCTGTATAACAGTCCCATTTTGTCAGTGTGGCATATGTCCGCAAGCGCGTAATTGTCCAAGACCTCCCGAAGCTGGGGCCGCTCCTTCACAAAGCGCCAAGTTGACAGATCCGTTATCTTCAAAGCGGTTTTAGGAACGGATCATATGACGGTCCTAAAAGGAAACGAGACATCCATTGGAAAATTCGAAAGTTGCATAATCAGGATACAGACGGTCGAAGATCTTTGTTGCACTCTCTTTATTAGATCGCCGCTCATGTTGACATGTTCCTGATTGACATGAAACCACTCTGCCAAAACCTCCTACATCTCAGGACATTTTACTTTGCGCTGGCGTTTCTGGCTGATTTTGACGTTGTCTGCCATTTTTTGCAGTTTTGCAAAGCGGTTTGAAGTAGCTGTAGCGATTGACTGGGCTACCTTCGTGTTTTTTTTCCAAAAGTCATGCCCAAAGCTCCTTCTGCGTGACTTCGTGATTGTCTTTTTGTACTGACACAGAGCAATACAGATCTCATCTGTTATTGTTGTGTGCGAAATTCCACGCTGCATCATGTTCAAATGTGGTGCGGCGCATTGTTTAGTTGTGCTGTAGATGTAACTATTAAAATTTGAGCGATGCACTGGAGGTAGAAGTAAAGGCAACATAGTACTACTGTCTTTACTGATAATTTTTCTTACCTGATAAATTTCCTTGATTCCAGCCGTATCAGATTGAAAAAATTCTGCTGTATCACGTCGGTGGTCATCTTGATAGCGCCTCAAGCTTGTAATTACTAGCTACAGTAGACCTATAGACCATGGTGCGTCGGTAGGGTGTCAACTTGCTAAGAACCTCATTAATGGTCGCTTTGTAGTTTGATATGTGGATTCGCTTTATCGTTTTGTCGCCTTGTCACAAATGTGGTTCGTCTTCCGCATGCTTCGGGTTCCCTCTCCATTCATAGACTTCTCTCTCCCTCGACCAGGGTCCATCAAGCGGCGTGTGCGCTACGAGCGCCTCGGTCAAAAAGGTTTATAGGCTGCACGATCCTGTGCACAAATGCGAAGGGCGTACAGGTCTGGAGCACGTTAAATGCGGTGTCCTACGAAAAGTGTCTGTGTGTCGGCATCGAGGATTGTCGAAAGCGTTAGTCGAGTGAACCAGCTTTAATTCGAAGAAAAGTTTTGTTTGGCCCTGGGGGATGTGCGGCTTAGCACCACTAAAGAGATCACCGTACGAATGCTGATGAGTAAGACAAAGGTGCGTCGGCTAGCGCCTTAGCCAGCCGGCTTGTTTGTCTTGAAGAGTCCAAAAATTGTCTCGTCGCCCAGGTGAATAGTAACGCCGATGGCGAGTCCGTGGTTGATGATTACAGCGAGTGGGTAAGCTCGAATATATGATACACATTCGATTAGCTCGTCAGGAGTGGAGTCCGGGCCCGTTGCGCGCCCATTGCGTAGGCGGCGGAACGCGCGTTCGAGCTCGATGGCGGTGATCGAATTGTTCAGGGGTCGTTCGACGGTGTAATTTACGACGGGCGTGCGCGTGGGATCGAAATACTGGCCCCGGAAGTGATGCTTGATCTCGATACATGCTTCTTGGTGGCTAAGCTTATAAAAATCTGTAGAGTCATATAACGAGAGTGATGGTAAGCACAGTCGGCAGAGGGCTCACGTGGCTTTACATACGTGAGTCGAGCGGTTCGATCGTTCATTGGAAGCGAGTTTCTCGTCAACAAAGCCCCAGAAAGAGTTTTGCTGCATTCTAGAATCCGGTGCAGAACTCGATTGCGTTTGGTCCGGAGAGCCAGAAGATCTTCCGTGTGGTCGTTGAAGATAAACTGCAGAAGCTGGAGTTGTCCGTACGAGAGGCAAGAATTTTCGGGTTCTACCTCTTTACCATTCTTGACAAGCAGAATGTAGCCGACAGAGTCCGCCGCGGCCTCAGGAGAAGAGTGAAGAATGCTTGTGCATTGTTATGTCGTAGTTGTCTCTCTTGCGCTAGGTCGTCGATGTACACTTCGAGATACTCTTGGTACAAGCTGCGGTTTGTGGTTTCACGGACAAGAGTATAAATTGCCGAGGGATTTTAAGCTTCGCTGTCATGTGATCGTTCTTGACGTCGGCGTAGTCACGTGAGGCGAGGAGGTCGAAGGCGAGAGTGACGAGCGTTTGGTCTGACGGTGTGAAAATTCCCCTTAAAAATTGCGCGTTACCGCATGTTGTTTTGTACGTTGGCTGCAGATGATGTAGTCGACTTGGCTGAAGATGCAGTGGTCCTCAAGTCGTAGTAGTTGATAAGTCGTGATGTTGCGCGCACGTTACTGAATGCTGTATTAGTGAAAAACAAATCGTCAGCATTACAGAAAGAAGCGTATGTAGCCATTGCGGTTCCTTCAGCACCGGCTTTATTGTCCGTAAAACAATTCACTGTTGCGGCATTGAGAGAATTTGATGCTTAATTCTCCGAGGATGATCGTTGTGTTGCGTTGAAAGAGCTTCGCCAGCGCCTTGGTCAGATCCGCTAGAAGCGGTCACTTGGTGCAACAGAATATTCACTACAGGTCGCGTATGCGCTCACAATTTTCACACGCTGGGCTTTAGGTTAAGGAAGTTCAAGAAGCCCAATTAGATCATACTTGGGACCGGTATTTGTAAAATTCGGTAGAGACGAAGGCCAACTGCAAAACCAATTCTGTGCCGACGGTTGGAGCACGTCAGCGGAATCAGGGTGATTACTACCAGCCTTATGCTCACTTTAAAAGGTACATGAGTCCCTTGAAACCCCAGGATGTCGATCTTAAACGTCGACAGATCCCTAGGAAGGTTCCAAACTAATTATGCTAAGAAACAATGGGTTAAACGTTGAACGTACCTAGCGGATATGCCGAGGCTTCGGGTGCAGATGCGTGCATCGCGGAGGCTTGGATGGAGGCAGGGATTGAGAGAGGTTAGAGAGGTGGTTTAGAGGATACAGTCCTCAAAGACTGACAGATACCGTGAAGTACCCGTCAAAGGCCTAAGATAACATCGTGTTGATTTAAGCTTCTTAAGAGGGCGTCACCCCAACCCGACTAGGATGCACTGTATAAACTAATATCGAATGGATCTGCATCACGTCAGGTATCTTCTCTTGAATCCGGATCTTAATTTCTATGGCGGTTAAATTCTAAGCCAATTTATTCCAAATCGGTGTAGTTTTCAATTTAAAGGCACAGAAAGACGCCATGTACTTCGATACAAGCTTCTCAAGCGGCAACTTAACGGTTAGCAAACTCACTTTTATCGCGCCTGTAGCCTGCCCTGAAAATATCGTCGGCATAGTCAGCATTCTATTTGATTTTGGTCCATAGCTCAGCGTATTCCAAAGCGGCATCATTTCTCACAGCGGATAATTGACGTTCGTCGTAGACATCACAGCGAAAACATTGGCTTGCGCCTGAGCTCTTGTTAAAAAAGCCACCACAGCATCCGTCGCCTCCTCAAAATGGCACTCTGTGACACCTTCGACAAGACCGGCTTGAATAGTCCACAAAGCCGAAAAATTGCCCCTCAATATCCGATTTTGAGTCTTCCTGAGCATTTTTTCCCTTAAAACACTTTTAATGTTGACATCGTCGACACCTCCACCCAGCGCGTGGTCCGCCAGGGCGACTTCTAACTTACCGACATTCTTTGGGTCAGTAGAAGTCAAGACTGCCTTTATAGCGGAGCTACTGGAACTCCTTCTTCAGAAGAATTTATTTATGACTCGTTAATTATCTTAGTTTATCGGACTAAACGAGCATTCACTTAAGGGTTTAAAGTCTTACAGACTTAATGAATAACATATAAGTATACGTACAAGCTCCTAAGCTTATGGTTCTGGTTCAGGGGACTACGACTCCAACAAATCACGAGACAAAAATGCCCAAGAGTACTTAGCCTAAAATCAGCCACTTTGCTGTTACCAACAGAGACGTCTAAAAAAATTGTGTCTGATACGGATCAAAAGGGGAGCTGAATATATTTATCGATTTAAAGCGATGTAAACCCCTACTTATGCCATCAACAATAAAATGAGCTACCTCATCAAATTGTCCTTAACGTAGTTTTCTTGTGTACCACACCAGAAATGCGTCGTCTATGTAAAGACTCTAAGAATATAGATATCTTTCAACAACAATATATTAGGTACAATATCATTGCTTAGCGTATGTGAAACGATTCAAAATCTTATCAGAGATACTTATATCTTTCTGTG